TCAAGCCGAGGTCAATCTACTCTCTTTTGTTTTTGACAGGTTCCATTAGGTTATCTAAGGTAAGGAGTGAAGAGGTCCCACTTATACCGTGTCCTGTTGCGTGAACTATCAAGTGGAGTCTTTNGACGGTGCCCCCGTGTGCAGGACATGCCGGCGGAAGGTATCCGCGAAAGGGAGCAACACATCGAATTTGCTCACTCATCTACGAGACCATCACCCGCAGCTGCACAGCCAGTGCAAGGTATATTTGTTAATATTAACACATAGTTTTAGCTGAAATGCTCGAAATAACTTTTGCCTTCGGGTAAAGGGGAAATGTAACAATTATATCCGACTGTCAATAATGTTAAATCTTGATAATAATCATTTACATTACATTAGCAAATGCACCTGCTCTCGTGTGTTCACCATTCTTAGATCGGCGCTAAACGCCATTCTAAGCTAAGTTGAATAGCTAAACTTTGATATGCCATGAGACAGTGAAAATAGTGCAGTGAAACACATTAATGATTAAGTTACTTCTGACTTTGGGTCAAGGGATAATGCAACGATATACCCGATTGTCTAAAATGTTAAACCTTGATATTAAATGTCAGTGTAAGCACGCCCACTGCTAGCATTTTAAAATACATCCTACTGCGGTGCCATGCTCTATTCGTTGGTAGCTAGTGCACTACTAAACGCCATTGTAAGGCGCTAAACAGCTTAGTTCTCATACAGTACTGGCTTCTTGCCTAATAACCTAAACTTACCTTAATGTTCACCTTAATGTTAACACTAAAAAAAAAAAAAATTACCGAGATAATATCGTAAACCGTGGTCATTTTGGTCACAATAACCGTGAGCCGAAAATTTCACACCGTGACACCCCTAGTAAAGATGCTGTTCTTTATGCAGAAGGACAGTCATGGTTTGTGCATTTGTTTTGTATCAAACATGACAAAGCAGACCACAGCCTCTACACTAGGCAGCAACATGAAAGCACTAACAGGAGAATAAGAGAGTGAGACAGGAAGTACATTTGGAATATGACCAGCTCGTCAGAAAGTAGATTGTAATAATGCAAAAAACAGAAACGTTGACTATTATGTCAGCAGATTTCACATAACTGCATTAGGTTAGTTGAAAGCAATAACATGAAGTTGAACCTGATATGTTTGATTTCAACTTGATTTTATTGCTTTCAACTAACTGAATGCAGTTATGTGAAATCTGTTGACATAATACATTTCATTAAAGTCAACGTTTCAGGGTTTTCAGTGCAGCACAGTCAACATACAGATATAAAAACATCTAACAAAAAAAAAGTAAGTAAGATCAAAATGCTTGAAATCATCTATATCTACTTTGAACACGGAAAAAAATAAACATAAAAGATAATCCATTGTCTGTTTATTAGCTCCATAAAGTCCCTGAAAACCTTTTTTTCTTCTTAATCACCTAAAAAACGCAACGCAAAGGAAAGGATAATAAAGTGCTGCAGGATGAGGAACTGATGGAGGAAGAGCATGTGGGTGAAATGTTTATCAGGCAGCAGCTTATCATGCTGCGCAGTGAGCAGCCCAAAGACACATTCATAAGACTGGATAAGTTATTTGATTTGATAAACACCAATCTGATTAAATAAAGGTTTGAAAACAGTTGTGTGTTCATGTCTCCACATCTGTCTGCTGCACCAGCCCTGACTCACCTTAACTCAGCCACAGATCTTCAGTCACTACATCTATTTGACTGTATAATCAGGCTTTACCCAAATCACATATGGTTTTATACAGCGGCAGTAATTACAGCTTGATCAAATAGTGTCTCAGCAGGGGTCTGTCTGACAGGAGGATCAGCCCGACGTCTCTCCTTATGCTGATTCAATGAAAGAACTCCAAACGTTTCACAATACTTCAACGTGTCAGCAAGTAGAAAAGCACCAACCTTTTGCATCCCTTTGTAGGACGTTTTGTGAATACACTAAACATGTTGAGAGATAACAAATAAGAAATGTCCTTCCTGCTACAAATACCAGTTTGAAAAGGAAGAATCATATTTGAGTTATTATTGTTTATCTGCCAAATTATGTTATGCCTTCTCTCAGGGGGCACATTTTTCTCATGTTTAAATCTAGAAAGTCCCCTATTCGAAAATCAAAGCGAACACTCACAGTTTGAATCTATGAGGTCACACACTGTCCGACAAAACATTTCATATAATATAAGACACATTCAAAGCCGTGACAGGGTGACTCCTCTTCATGCATCCATTTAAGGAAAGGCTTAAGACAAAGGTCAAACTGAAAATATTGGAGAGGGAATAAGTAGAAAAGGTGGATGGAAAGATTAAAAAAAGAAAGAAAAGTTAATTAACATCTTATTAATACAACGCACTATATATTGTACGATGTGCACATTTTTACAAAAATTGATTAAGTTTATATACCATTTCTGATTTGATCTTTTTATTTTACATTCTACTAATGTTAATATAAAATATTTTATTTTACATTTTTATTTCACATTTTATCTTTAATTACTTATGTTTATATAAATATTTGTTTTATATATATACATATTTGTTTGTATCTTGTATTTAATTCATTCGAAAATGAGGCAACTGTCAGAGCAAAACCCAATCTCCCCCCTGATAAAGAAAGTATTCTGATTCTGATGGAATCCCAAGGAGGGAGGAAAAAGGAGACAAGGAAAGAGAAAGAAAGGGAGAGATTAATAAAGGTAAAAATAACAAAGTGAGAAAGGGAAGGAGGAAAGGAGAGGAAGAGAGAGAGAGAAGCTTGCTAATTCCTCCCTCCCTTCCCCCTCTCCTCTCTCAGTCCTGGGATGACTCGGCAGTCTGGTAGTCAGAAATAGCACAGACAGCTGTGCGTGTGTGTGTGTGTGTGTGTGTGTGTGTGTGTGTGTGTGTGTGTGTGTGTGTGTGTGTGTGTGTGTGTGTGTGTGTGTGTGTGTGTGTGTGTGTGTGTGTGTGTGTATAGAGAGAGAGATTATAGGTCATAGGTGCACACAATTTGCTTGCTTGCCAATTTCCATGAGAAAAGCTATAGGGGGTGGAAGTGGGGGGGGGCGCGCACACACACACACACACACACACACACACACACACACACACACACACAAATGGTGCAGCCAACAAGTGTGGGAACTTTGGTCCACAAAACTCTCACTACTGGTTCCAACAGTGGGAAAACTGAGAGGGAGGTGTGTGTCTGAGTGTGTGAGAGGGGCTCCATTTCCAACAAGTCTCGTATGAGCGACACACTGACACGTTTGACTTTAACAGACATGAGGCAGCTAACTCAGTCCTATATCACAGTCAATCTTATTTATTATTGTGAAATGAAAATTGTGAAATGCATTGTCCGTGAAATAAACAGGGTTAGGGTTAACACTTTATAAAAGATTAAAGAACCAGATGGAAATGTCATGTTTTGTCTAATTCACTGATCATGTGCTAATTGGACATATTCAGCAACATCTCAGACAGCAGATGCATTTATATCTGACAGTATACATCTTCTAGTCAACTAACCGTAGACTGCTGATATTATTTCACCCTATAAACTGAAAGAGAAATACCCAACAAACGTACAGAACTGAATACGAAACATAACACAAGAAAAGAAGGATGAAAAAATAGTCACAATAATTCTAATAATAGCATCTTGCATGCATAGGCAAACAAGGCAGTCATACGGTAGCATGAATAAAAACACGAGTATACTGTAGATATTTCACCTATCAGTGTGTCCGGATATTATCATTCATCGTTTCATGTTTTGAAGTTTTAACTAGAGTGGCTAATAAAGTGGTTTATGACCATTTGGCCTATTCCACATTGGACTACAAGGCTCTTCTGGTAACACATGCAAACAATTCAAACATATTTACTAAAGTTCTTGCATCAAATCTTATATACCATATCTTAAAAAATAAATAAACGATTGCAAAGAAGAAAGTAGATGTGTGTAAAGCATGACAGAAGAGATCTGGGTAGAGTGAATGGAGTAGATCAGAGGAGAGTGGAGCATTGGTCTAAATGTAGCGTGCTAATCCAGGGAACTCCCATGTTAAACTCTGAGTCCCATCTGGAATGCTAGCTATGCTAACGCTAACTGTGAGTGGATCACTGACTCTGGTATGAATGGTATGAATAATATGAAATACAATGTTAGAGTTCAAACGTCAGTCTTGCCTTTAACATGGGTTACAGTGCATTTACATGAGATCATGTCGGCTAATTAGCTACAGGTTAGCACAATCCACATTAAAAAGAGGGATAACAGACATTTAGCTATGCTGCTAGCATGGCTCAAACAACGTATTCCTGTTGATGTCAGAATATTACGGAAGAGGATTAGGGCCACGTGAAAAAAAAATGTGGGGATGAGAAAAAAGTCAGAATTTTGAGATTAAATTCTCAGATGTGAAATTTTTTTTCACATCCCCATATTTTTTTTCATGTGGCCCTAATCCTCTTCCGTAGAATATAAAATCATGTTATTGTTGGTTTTGCATTTGTATGACGAATACTATTTTATAAGCACTTAATACATTCCATAGGTAACTTGAAGTAATGTTAAGAAACAAATTGACATACTTTAGTAAGTAAAACATACTTTCGATGTTTCACTTACCTTCATATATACTTTTCTATTCCAGCACTGAGGACAACAAATACTTTTTATTCTAATTTTTGCTTTATTTTATTTTGACTCTTGCAAAAATAATTTACTTACATTTTCTATGTTTGTAGAAATACCTTTATTTCATTTTAATTATATATTTTTGCACATTCTTTTTTTAACCTCTTATGTTAATATAAATCATGTCTTATATTTGTATTTGTGTAATTCAAAAATATATCAACTGCCACCATTCTGATTTTAATTCTTTAAAATAAAATCGACTTATGACAAAATGCCACAACAGTTTGAATGTTAACTCATCATATGCACTGCCTTCTATTAAAAAAAATAGGAATGACACATTAAACACCTCTCCCTCTGCTGGTCTATGGCCTTGTAGAGGGTAACGGGGTACAGAGTCGCTTAGATAAGCGGGGGAGTGCATCTGACGAAGAGATAGGTTGTTGTGCTCCCTATCTCTGTTTCTTATCCTATATCTAATAGAACTGCTCGGGTCTTGATAGATTGAGTGGGGAAGTTCATGAGATCTTTCTAGAGGGTTATCAAGAATAACTTTTATCCTATGGCCTTTTCCCTCTCTGTCTGTGTCTGTGTATTCTCTTGTTCCGATTAACCCAGCCAAATCTTTTTTCTTGTTTTGTATCTATACAGGACTGTCTCAGAAAATTAGAATATTGTGATAAAGTTCTTTATTTTCTGTAATGCAATTAAAAAAACAAAAATGTCATACAAGTATAACCTAATAATCTAATACTCGGCGATCCGGCGTTCTCTTTTCTCGTCGGTTGCCTAATCTTTTTTATTCCAGAGTGTCTGTTACCTCGGAAACGCACCACCACCTCTTGTCACTGGCTTGTACGCGTGCTGAATAGGTTCAGTCTTGAGCCTAATGACTCCTACAGGATCCTGGCTGTCCGCGATCGCGTTAATATAATCGCTCTCCTGATGTCCGGTCAGACGGATATGTCTGTATAGCCTAGAGTTCTTCTTAATCTGTTAAACACTATGTATATAATTTCAAGACAATAAGAATAATCTAGATTTCGTTACATTTTTTGTTTTACCTTGTATGTATAGATCCTATAGTACATTTAGTTTTGCAGCATATTGTCGATCCCGTGATACACAGCTGTAATAAGACATAATAAGGTATTATAATTGTCGTTGCATTACGCCTGTCATGTGTCCGAATATGCTTGTTCTCGAGTTTTATTAGGATGAGAGTTATTTTTAATCTTCGATCGAAGGATGGTGAATGTCTGCGTTACACTCTGTTCTTTCTCTCGATCTGTGTCTCACGCCGTTCTGTATGAAGTCTGGCTAGACGTAATATTTTCACCAGGTAATATACACCTCGGAGTGCAAAGATCCATAATTGACGACCACCCTAGGAAAACCAACAATTTTAGACATAACTTAGCCGCTACGCTGTACCGCACACACGCCCGTAGCTCCGCTTATCGTCGCAGAGTCGTCGACTATACACTCGACGCCTCACTCACCTCCAATACCTCGGGCTCCTACTCGCACTGTTAATCTGGCCGGTGGGACATCGGTAGTAGTATTGTGTTGTACACCCTCTGTTGCCACAGTGTGGGTATACACCTGTGGAGACAGAACGGTCGCGTAAGCATCCGGTAGACGTCCGGTGTACTTCGAGATTGCCCAAGTCCAGTCCACCTCGATAGACGGAGCTGTCTCCGTTCACTCCTGGTCATTGGACACCCAGTTAAGACACGTTCAGAATTCATGGGTCATAATGGTCATCTAACACCCGGTGACCACCCACCGGTACTCACGGTGTAGAGTACGACCTGTACTCTGGGTGATGTGAAGAGGTGACATCCCGTTCTACTAAAAAGTATCGGCTGTGCTTGTCAGTACCTAACGAGATCTGTAGTTGTAGTGACCATAAGCGCACAAGTTCATATACGTGTTGTGGATATCTGTAAACTGATGATCCTCGAACTACTTTGTGTCACCTGGTTGTGGTCGTCTGACTGTACCGAGGGGTTTGTAGCGACTGACACCCTTGAAGTGTGACCTAAAGTTCGTTGAACCTAAAAACGAGGAGAGGTCGGAAAGAGTGTCTGAGACGCGGGAACTGAAGGTTTACTTAGTTTTGAATCGAAAGCGACTTTTCTCCTTGAAACCGTGACCCGTTGCCAGGTAGAAGAAAGAATCGGGTCAGCTGCGGAGGAAGGCAACAGACTCTAGTCTTCACCCGAACTGGTACCCTTATGCGATAACATGGTAAAGGGCCTGTGCAGACACCTTGTCACTGAAACTCATGGACCTAGGTCGAATTCAGGACGAACTTCGAGGGGTTTAAGACCCTTCGCTGAGAAGAAGTGTTACGACAATTCCGACGCCAGTAGAGAGAACCAACACGTCGCAAAGGACGGTGTCACAGGGCGGAAGGTTGTCTGAAAAACACCTACACGAAACTTGACGTGAGACACTTGTCGAACGCAAGAAACTCTTTAAAGAAAAACACAGAATGGAGGACTACCTCCCGCACAGTTACTGCAGGAGACTGTCGTCAGTCTAGTCGTCATGAAGGGGTATGAACACTAAATCAAATGCCTTGTTCGACTCACAAAAAAGTTACCGAGTCCTTTGGGACACGTCCACAAAGCTCAATTAATCTCGCTAAAGTTCACTAAGCAACTTGTGGATGATCATTTATGAAAAAGTACTATAAGTTATAAATCTCTATGCCTATAAACTCAAAAGAATTCGACATCGATTTAGTCGTTATAATTTTATTATTTTCCGAACGTTCTATAAAGTAACTAAACATT